AAAGAGAAGAAAGAAAAGAATAAAAAGAAGAGAAGGAGAGAAGAGAAGAAAGAAAAAGAAAGAAAGAAAAGAGAAAAGAAAGGAAAAGAAAAGAAAAGGAGAGAGGGGAGGGGAGGGAAGGGAAGGGAAGAGAAGGGAAGGGAAGGGAAGGAAAAGGAGGAAAGGAAAAGAATATAAAAAGAGAAAAGAGAAAAGAAAGGAAAAAAAGAAAATAAAAGAAAAGGAAAGGAAAAAAATAAAAGGAAAGGAAAAAAGAAAAAAGAAAAGAGAAAGAATAGAAGAAAAGGAAGAGAAGAGAAGAGAAGAGAAGAGAAGAGAAGAGAAGAGAAGAGAAGAGAAGAGAAGAGAAGAGAAGAGAAGAGGAGAGAAGAGAAGAGGAGAGGAGAGAGAAGACAAAAACAATGTCAGCCTGAAACTAACTCATGCTGTTCCCAGGTAATGAGTGTGAAGTGCTACAGACACATATTTCTTGTTACTCAGCTAAGACAGCCACTGGTAAACTAGTGTTGGAGCCATGCTTCTGCCATTTTCTCCCTCTGTCCCAAACGTACCCTCCTTGTGTGTGGGCTGGCATGCCAACCTCTCTTGGCTGGCCCCACACTGCCTGGTACTTGCCTGTAGACAAATGTAGGCAAAAGCCAGGGGGAGCCCCTGCATGTGGGTGGAGTGTGAGGGTCCTAAAGTACCTGCTGCAGTTCCAGTACTGTGTCCTATAAAAGAAGTTGATGGGAACGAACACAAGAATATACAGCAGTTTATAAAATGTGTGTCACAATGACCTTACCCTTGACAGTCAGAATAAACTAAATCCACGGCACTTCTTATACCTGTCTCTCTGCTTTAATCTCTACATTGATTTTTGTCCAAACAGCCTCAAGCCTCGAAATAATCAAATTGCACCAGGGAGAACACAGATCATCTATTTTGCCTTCTGTCTGGTAATTTTTTATGAGATGTAAAGACAGAGGGGGAAGGAGGGGGTAATAGGAGAGAGAAGTAAATGTAACCAGGGCCTCATCTCATCATGGCTCCCGGTCAGCTAGAACCTCAGATGCGTGCCTCCACGCCTGGCCTTCTTAGGTTGGGCCAGGAACTGAAACTAGGTCACCATGTACAGCCTCAGACATTGTGTGGTGGCACCCACCCACTTCTGTCACAGAGGCTGTCTCTGTGTGATCTTTTTATATTTAATCTTCATTAGAGTAATCAAAAAAAGTTAAACCAACACATTCAATAACTATCATCGCCTTCAGTTGTAACTTTCACTAATGGTTATAAGGCCCTGTCGATTTCTTTAAATTTGTCGATTGAATGTCAAAAAGTCATTTTGTAACTCTTCAAAACACGTGGATATCAACAACACCGACCGTGATAGCCAATCACCTTCATTTCACCCGCATGGTTCGGACGTTGTTCATGGCGTGTGCTCAAGACAGTTTGTGCGAGAACCCTGATCGTGTTTGGGTGAATAAAGGGCATTTGTTAATTAATGAGTTAAATTGTGATACTGCCTAAAAACCTATTACCTTCCTGTTCTCCATGATTTAAGATGTTTACAATTACTTTTGCAGCATTAATGGACACGTCTAATTTCATTTGTGTTTGAAAATGATTCTTAATGACATTTTTGTGAACAGAACATTTTCTTGCCTTGCTATCTAAGAAAAGGTTACTGTGTGTTTTGACTCAGCCTTTTCATGGCCTCATTCAAGAGACATGCCTGTAATATGACATTTTTCAGGTAAGAAATATTGTCTGTCTATGTCTGAAAGAATGGAGTCGACATTGGAAATGAGGACTCTCTGCTACTTTTCCTTCCCCCACACTCTACGGCGTGTTCTGCATAAAGCAGCAGCCCAGGGCTCACCTCACCACTGGGCTGTCCTAAGAGGACCCCAGAGGCCTGCTGTGCGGGGGGGGGCCGTTGCTTCTACCTCCGGCTCCTTCTTCTCCTTACTGCACACCGCGCTGCAGCGGCCTGGCCACCATGGAGGCTGCTGTTCATACAAAGCCTTCTCTCCTCCACTGCGAATGCAGGAAGAACTAGCAGCCTGCAATGTAAGCAGAGACTACGAGGGGCGGCCACGCCTGGGGAGCCTTGGTTCCAACAGTCCAAACATGAGCTAACGAGCTGGCTGCCCGGCTGCGAGCGTGAGAGAGAAAGGAGGGGAGCCTGAGGGCAGCCAGGGAGAGAGCCAGGGAGAGAGGAGGAGGAAGAGAGGGAGGACAACGTGAAGTAACATTTTGGTCACAGGTAAAAATAAATTCCAACCTCATGGCTTAGTGCTTAAGAGAGCCAGATCCTACAGAGCTGATGGACCACAGTTCAAATCTTGGCCCTGGCAGCTTAAAAACACGCCTCAAGTCCTTATGGAATGGCAAAAAGAAGAAGGGATTAAATACATAAATAAATTCTGAAATATAAATAAACAGATAGATAAATAAATAAATAAATGTATTTTCTCTGCCATGTCCCTCTCTCTGAGAAAGCTTTCCCAGATGGAGAACTAGGACTGGGGCATAAATGTAACCAGGGCCTCATCTCATCATGGCTCCCGGTCAGCTAGAACCTCAGATGCGTGCCTCCACGCCTGGCCTTCTTAGGTTGGGCCAGGAACTGAAACTAGGTCACCATGTACAGCCTCAGACATTGTGTGGTGGCACCCACCCACTTCTGTCACAGAGGCTGTCTCTGTGTGATCTTTTTATATTTAATCTTCATTAGAGTAATCAAAAAAAGTTAAACCAACACATTCAATAACTATCATCGCCTTCAGTTGTAACTTTCACTAATGGTTATAAGGCCCTGTCGATTTCTTTAAATTTGTCGATTGAATGTCAAAAAGTCATTTTGTAACTCTTCAAAACACGTGGATATCAACAACACCGACCGTGATAGCCAATCACCTTCATTTCACCCGCATGGTTCGGACGTTGTTCATGGCGTGTGCTCAAGACAGTTTGTGCGAGAACCCTGATCGTGTTTGGGTGAATAAAGGGCATTTGTTAATTAATGAGTTAAATTGTGATACTGCCTAAAAACCTATTACCTTCCTGTTCTCCATGATTTAAGATGTTTACAATTACTTTTGCAGCATTAATGGACACGTCTAATTTCATTTGTGTTTGAAAATGATTCTTAATGACATTTTTGTGAACAGAACATTTTCTTGCCTTGCTATCTAAGAAAAGGTTACTGTGTGTTTTGACTCAGCCTTTTCATGGCCTCATTCAAGAGACATGCCTGTAATATGACATTTTTCAGGTAAGAAATATTGTCTGTCTATGTCTGAAAGAATGGAGTCGACATTGGAAATGAGGACTCTCTGCTACTTTTCCTTCCCCCACACTCTACGGCGTGTTCTGCATAAAGCAGCAGCCCAGGGCTCACCTCACCACTGGGCTGTCCTAAGAGGACCCCAGAGGCCTGCTGTGCGGGGGGGGGCCGTTGCTTCTACCTCCGGCTCCTTCTTCTCCTTACTGCACACCGCGCTGCAGCGGCCTGGCCACCATGGAGGCTGCTGTTCATACAAAGCCTTCTCTCCTCCACTGCGAATGCAGGAAGAACTAGCAGCCTGCAATGTAAGCAGAGACTACGAGGGGCGGCCACGCCTGGGGAGCCTTGGTTCCAACAGTCCAAACATGAGCTAACGAGCTGGCTGCCCGGCTGCGAGCGTGAGAGAGAAAGGAGGGGAGCCTGAGGGCAGCCAGGGAGAGAGCCAGGGAGAGAGGAGGAGGAAGAGAGGGAGGACAACGTGAAGTAACATTTTGGTCACAGGTAAAAATAAATTCCAACCTCATGGCTTAGTGCTTAAGAGAGCCAGATCCTACAGAGCTGATGGACCACAGTTCAAATCTTGGCCCTGGCAGCTTAAAAACACGCCTCAAGTCCTTATGGAATGGCAAAAAGAAGAAGGGATTAAATACATAAATAAATTCTGAAATATAAATAAACAGATAGATAAATAAATAAATAAATGTATTTTCTCTGCCATGTCCCTCTCTCTGAGAAAGCTTTCCCAGATGGAGAACTAGGACTGGGGCAGCCCGGGGTTGACTCCCCCGTCTGCTGCCTCTGCCCCCACCCCCGGCTCTGCACAGGCCTCTGTAAGGGCTTCTCTGCACCTGCACCTCCATGAGAGGGGAGTCCCGGGTGTGTGGGGCCCAAAGCTGACACAACTCGGTTTCTTTAAGCCCCACATTAGTGCAGCAGCCTGCCGGGGTCTGCTCAGGTGGAGGCTCCCAAGGTCAGTGTCCGAAGCCTCGAAGTCTGTCTGCTCGGTGCCCACGTTTGATGACTGAAGAGCCAAGGCTCCAATCTAGCACACCAGAAACCATGTTATCAAACACCAACTGCGTTTCACTCAGCTTCGCAATGACTCCGCAAATACCAGCCTAGCACTGCCCTGTCATTGCTGGGGCTCCATGGGGACTGTGACTAGCATCCCAGATGGTAATGTGATGGGAAGATGCATCTTACAGGACTCACACAGCTGAAACACGCAAACTGGGAGCACCATGGTTTTCAGACTCTCACCGAATTTCAGGAATATAGCAGATAGAAGATTCTTATTGTTAAATCTGGAATTGACTGATTAGACAGGTAAAGAAATACTAAATACTAACACTTAGCAAGGTCCAAATGACTTAAATTAAACCACTACAAAGAAAAATCTCTTGCTGGTTTGGCCCACTGTGGTGCACAAATGGGAGGTGTCTGCAATGGGTGGGGCCAGGCCAGCCTGAATGGGCCAGTGGTGCACACCTGTGGTCCTAGTAGCTGGGAGACTAGGGCGGGAGGATTTGATGTGAGACTCCCTCTGAAATACCTCTCACTCTCTCTCTCCTCCCTCTCGCTCTCATTAAACAAACTACAAAACATGGAATAGACTCACGTTAAAGGAATGCATTTACCATCAATAAAAAGAGCAATAGATACGCGTCCACCGTGTTTGGCTTTTTTCACTTTTGACACTGGAAGAGGTCTGCTGGCCACTCACCATCGGCCACGGTCAGTCTCATCACAAAGGTTGCGTTCTCACCGGTGCTGGCCTTGACGCTGCAGCGGTAAAGCCCCGAGTCCGAGGCTGTGGCCTGCGGGATTATAATGAAGCTGTGCCTGCCCTCCGGGGTGCAGCTGCTCAGGATCTGTCTTGGGTACTTGGATGGGTAACTCCTCCCCTGGGACAGGTTGCAGTAAGCTAAGAGGTCGATCTGGTGGGGCTGGATCTTCTCCCAGGTGGCCTGCTGCGCTTGCCACGTCATCTGAAGCTCATAGCTAAGGGTGACGTTTTCTCCAGCATCTGAGAATATGTGGCTATCGGACGGCACAGCTATCTCGAAACTATCTGAAAAGAAGCAGCGAACGATTAGACTTATCTAGCAACATTTTGGAAGCAGAGGTCAGAGCTACCCAGAAAGTTCTATTGAAACGGTTGGTGATATTACTTGACAATTTCATCAACTGGAAATGGTATCATTACACTGCATTTTTGTAAGAGAAAGGATTTTTCTTAAAAGGTTCATAGATAAATAGAAAAGAGGATGCGATTTTTTCACACACAGTCCCTTAAGTGTTACTCGGTTAACCATGCAGTGAGAAACACGACCGAAACTCCAGGTGCTTTCTTGGTAGTGAGCTCATCAAGAGACTGCATTTCCCAAGACCGGTCTGCAAGAATTCTAGGCTGGTGACTCAGACACTGACTTCGAGTAGTAGATTTCCAGATTAAAATCACACCAACTAAGATTTTGAATAGTCTTAAACAGCATACCAAATTTTATTTGTGAACCACATGCATACACTCATTTTTCAGATAAACGGAGTGCCTTCCACAGAGTAGGTACCCACATGTAGTATGAACTCTCAGGTGCCAGAAGGGAAATCAAATCTGTGTACAGAATACAGACGCAAATTCATTTTGATATCCTCTTACACGCAGGTGGAGCCAGGGCCCACACGTGGTGTGAATTCCTGGGTACCAAGAAGGTCTGCCAATATTCCCACATCATTGTGCCACCATTTCTGGAATTCCCAGCATGAAATACCCAGTAATCATCACCAAATATCTAAATTAGCAGTTCTTACAGTATGTTCTTGGACCCCAGGGAGTCTCTGGGTCCCCTCTGGAGAACTGCAAGTTCAGACCTACTTTCATAGTAATGTTAAAATGCAGTTTACCTTCATTCACCCTCATCTTCTCATGAGTGCACAGCAGATCATTCCAAAGGCTGGGATGGCCGATGAGGAGTGAGCTTGTGTCTGCTCAGTGGTCACGTCCCTGGCAGTAAGGATGCTAGCCATACACTACGCAAGTACATAGTCCTGGGGGGCAACTGATAATGCTGGGCATCCATCATAATGCTCAATAATGCCAAAGGGGTCCTGATACCAAAAAGTTTGGGAACCACCTCATCTGAAAAATAAACTTCAAGAATTACTTCTTAAAATTAAGATCATTTCTTACTCCATCCTTAGATGTTTTCTACTTGAATTTTCCAGAAATCATTAGAAGAGTTTTCTCTTTTAGGTGTCTAGCACTGTAACGAGCTAGATATATTGGAATAATGATAATAACCATCTCTACTAAAGAAAATTGCAACTTTTGTATTTGGTTACAATCATAAAATTATTTTATTCATATGATTTTCTTAAAATAAGAAGTAAAGCAATTAGTCAAGATGAACTACTTTATCCTTATAAAACCCTGGTGAGAAAAGATCATAGCATGTATCATTTTCCCAAATGTTTTAAAAAAATAGAATCTGTTACTTTCAGCAGAAATTCAGGTCATTAAAATTGTATTGCAAGTGGTGGGGAAATAGGAAAATTAGGACTCTGATACATCCCCATTCTTATTCCTCCCAGGAAACTTCTTGTCTCCTAAGCTATGGCATATATATATATATATATATATAT